GACAGCATGGTACAGAAGAGAGTGGGGTTAGGAAAAATAATCTGATTTTTCAGGGCTGACTCTATGATCTTTATTTAGCATATACCTCTCTCCAGGCCTTAGTTTCCTTCTGTGAAAAATGAGGATTTATGATTTCATGCTCTGAGTTTCTTTCACAGGTGATCAAATGTTTATATCCAATGACTACAGGCAACCTCATTTTTTAACTTATTAAGAACTCTAATATAAAGTGAAGGATTATCATAAGAAGTTCCATCATGTTATTTAAAAAAGGCAAGGGGATTTGGGAACCTGAATTTTGAGATGGATTTTAATTCATGCTCCACCACTTAATATATTGCCTTATAAAATTTTCTTACTTCTCTTGCAAAATGTGAATGTCAGTATGATAAGGATTATGGTGATAGAGCTGGCTTATATGCCAGTTTGTAGGAGCCAATTGTCAAATATTTAGAAACTTTGTAAGCAAGATGTTAAACCACTATTAGCTTAAATCTGCTATGGTGGGAGTATTTATACTGGGGAAATAAACAAACACTACAAATCAGATGCCTGTTGTTTTGGAGAGTTGATTTACCAGTACATAGCTGATAGTGCAAACAGTGCTGTCAATTATAAATCACTCTGTCTTACTTATTATTAAAATTAATAATGGTACTGGGCATGATGGTGCATACCTGTAATCCCAGCATTTTGGGAGGCTGAGGCAGAAGGATTACAAATTCCATGATAGCCTCAGTAACTTAGCAAGGCCCTATTTCAAAATTTTTTTAAAAAATAATTAATTAAAAGGCTGGGAATGTAGCTCAGTGGTAGAGCACACACCAGGTTCAATCTTCAGTCCCTCCCACCAAAATAGTAATGGTAACGATAATGTTCTGTGTCCATAGAACCTAACCTGATGCATGGAACTGCTCCAAGTACATTCACCAAATACATCTTTAACTTTTACTATTTAGAAACTTCTGTACCTGAGCTAAATGAGCCCTCATCTTTACCTCTTTTTAAATTCTTCTCTACAAAGTCTACTTTTCAAATGAGAAAACATAAATAAAAGCCTATTTTAGTGCATGACACACAGTGGACCTTAATTAAATTCTCTACTTCCTTAACTAAGCTAATTATCTCCTTATTAAACCTTCATTTCTTTTGGTCTTTCATATCTCAGTTATCAACACTGTCCATCTATCCGTATCCCAAATAAGTTACTTGAAAAGGCTTTCTTCCCCTCTCCCCTTTTTTCTATCCTCATGTGTATGATCAATTCCTAACCTTTACCAATTCAACATCTTAAGTCTGTCCTGTTCTCTTGATTGCCATTGATACTGCCTTAGTTAGGGCCATCATCATTTTTTTTGTTGAACTTCTAACTGAACATTTAGCCTTTCCCTTCAATCCAATTTCCACTTCTGTAGATATAATCTTAATTTATTTTATTTTGGGACCAAATCCCTCACCTACTCAAAACTTATTAATGGCTTTCTATTGCCTGAAGGATAAAATATAAAGGTTTAGCTTATCACTCAGCTCCACCACAGTCTGACTTTTGCCTATCTTTTCTAAGAGTTGTCTCTTACTGTTCCCCAAACCTATGTGGAATAACCAGTCTTTCTTTCCTAAAGACTCCCTAATTAACCCTTCAACACCCAATTCAAAGCTTCTTCCATGACATCTCTTGATGTATTCCATATATTTTTCTGAGCTCCCATGGCACCTTGAACATACGTTTATACAATGTGTAACCATGTGGCTGTTGTTATTGGTCTTTCCCTCTAGGTTGTAAGCACCAAATGGTAGGAATCTAGCACCATTTGTTAACGCCTAACACCATTGTGCAGCATATAATAGGAGCTCATTAAATGTTTGAATGAATGAGAGTATAGAAGATAGGATATTTTCATTGGTTCACAAACACACGTTATTCATAAATTATATAAATGGAAAAAAAGGCTTAAAATGTGGGTCTCAATAATGAGGAGGGAAAATAATAAAATGGGAATGGTCTAATTTTATCCATAATCCTCAATAGAGGATACTATGGCTCAGACTAAAATCCAAAACTTTCAATCAAGCCCCTATCTGTCCTTTAAATCCTTCTCTGTGTACACCAAGTAGCCTGCATTCCAGCCACTCTGGATTTCTCATCTATCCCAGAGTCTTTCATCCCTGCCCTAATTCACACTTTCCCCTGTACCAGTAATGCCTTCTCCCTCTTCTCTCACTCACACTTGAAGAATTCATACACTTCCTTCAAATGAATCAAAAGTTACCATTTTTAAGCACTTTCCCTGAACTATCCCTCCCTCTTCTGTGTTGTCAGAGCACTGAATTCCTGATAAGCACTGCAATGTCAATCTTTGCCAGTCTTGTCTTTTGGCTTTCAATAAAGTGAAGTCATTTTTATACTCTGGCCTTTAGCATGTTCTAGGTGCCTAATACAGAGTGAAGGAGCAAATGAATATTATATAGGGAAATGCAAAAAAAAAAGTAAATTTTCATAAAATATACTTTGAATGATTTTTTTTAATTAAAAACCATGTGTGTGTGTGTGTGTGTGTGTGTGTGTGTGTGTGTGTGTGTTGCTGAAGATTGACCCAGGCCCTCACATGAAAATTTTAAATCTATTTTTAGTTAACATGTAAACTTTGTACACATCCATGGGGAACCATGTGATGTTTTAATATATATATATATACATTGTATAACACTCAAATCAGGGTAAACCTATCTGTTTGCCCAAACATTTATCAATTTTTTTGTGGAAAAACATTTAAAATCCTTTCTTTTAGATTGTTCGAAATAAAGCCATTATCATTACTTATAGTCACCCTGCTGTGGAATAGAGCACCAGAATTTATTTCTCCCTTCTAACTGTAACTTAATAACCTATTGACCAACCTTTCCCCATTGTTCCTCCCCTGTACTTGATCCAATCTCTGGTAACTAGTATTCTATTTTCAACTTCAATCTCTGGTAACTATTCTATTTTCAACTTCTATGAGATCAACTATATTAGATTCCACATGTGAGTGAGTTCATATGACACTTGTTTTTCTGTACCCGACTTATCATCACTTAACATAATATTCTCTAGTTGCATCCACATTGTCACAAATGACAGGATTTAATCTTTTTTCATAGCTGAATAATGTTCCAGTATGCAAATGTACCATATTTTCTTTATTCATTCATCCATCAATGGACACTTTGGTTGTTTCCATTTCTTATTAATAGTGCTGCAGTGGCAATGGGAGTGCAAGAGATTCCTTAAAATGGTTTTCATTTCCTCTGGATAAATAACCAGTAGTGGTATTGTTGGACCATATAGTAATTCTAATTTTAAATTTTGGAGAATCTGCTATACTGTTTTTCATAATGGCTCTTCTTATTTACATTCCACTAACAATTTATAGGGGTTACTTTTTCTTCCACATCCTTGCCAGCACTTACCTTTTGAAGAATAGCCATTCTAACGGGAGTAAGGTGATATCTCTTTGTGGTTTTAATTTGCACTTTAATTTAATTTGCGCTTTCCTGATTATTAGTTATGTCAAACATTTTTCCATATACCCATTGGCCACTTGAATGTCTTTTTTTTTAAAGAGAGAGAGAGAAAGAATTTGTTTAATATTTATTTTTCAGTTTTTGGTGGACACACATCTTTATTTTATTTTTATGTGGTGCTGAGGATCAAACCCAGCGCCTTGCACATGCCAGGCGAGCACATTACCTCTTGAGCCATATCTCCAGCCCCACTTGTATGTCTTCTTTTGAAAAAATGTCTATGGGTCTGTTGCCCATATCAAATCATATTATTTCTTTTTATGCTATTAAGTTCAGTTTCTTATATATTATGGATATTAACACCTTATCAGATGTATAATTTGCAAATATGTTCTCTCATTCTGGAGGTTGACTCTTCATTCTGTTGATTTTTTTTTCCTTTGCTGTGCAAAATATTTTAGTTTAAATCCTGATTGTGTGTTTTTTCATGTGTTTCCTGTGCTTTTGGGGTTTTATCCTGCTTTGAACAAATTTAAGAATGATGTTGCATGATCTGGCTGATCTAGAACAAATCTGTTTGAAAGGTTAGATAGCCCCATATTACTCATGTACAGATCAGAAGTAAAGAACACATTTGAAGAGCTGGGGCTTAGTTGTGTTGCTCCAGATTTGGTGCTGTATAATAAAAAACATTGATATCTCAGGAAGTTATTTTGTCATACACAGAAGACATTTGTCTACATGACTTAATGAATGTCTTAGAAAGTAAAGCAGTGCCCTAGTAAGATAAGGCTTTAAAAAACAAGGAGAAAAAAATTAGTTGTAACTTATAGTAACATAAATTATAATAATGTAGGTATATATATACTGATTTCCCTTGTGGAAAAGGAAGTCATTTTATCTGATTAAAAAGATAACAGAGCGAGGTATGGTGGCACATGCCTATGATCTCAATGACTCTGGAGACTGAGGAAGGAAGATCACAAGTTTGAAGCCAGCCTGGGCAATTCAGCAAGACCCTACCTCAAAATAAAAAATAACAGGTGCTGGGGGTGTAGTTCAGTGATAGAGGGTCCTGGGATTCAGTCCCCAGTATGCAAAGAGGATTGGGGGAATGAAAGTTATAAATACAGAATGCTTGGAATACCTTGAAAATCACAACACTCTAAACTGCTCCCAAATCTAACCAATTAACTATTGTTAGTTCTTTGGATGAATCCTTCTGGTCTTTTTCTTTTGTGTGTGTTTGTGTATCCTTTTAAATGAATATATATATATATATTTGTTCCAACCCTTTTAAATGATATGTCATGAACAATTTTTCATGTTACTAATTATTCTTTCACAACATAATTTTTCATTGTGAACAGTATTGCATCAAATGGAATAAACCACAATTTAATCCTCCTCATCATTTTAATGTTTTTATTATATAAACAGATGTAGTAAGGACACTAAAGAAACAGTGATCTGAGGCCCTGCTTTTGTTTTCCCAGGTTTGGGAGCCCTCTTGTGCATCAGACCTCTATTCTAATAATCCTCTGAGTGTCATCTCAGGACCTTGGTCACACTCATGGCACGATGGCCAACCCTCAGGAGCGCCTGAGCTGCTCCTCTTCTCCACATTTCCCCTCGAGTGAAAACAAAACCTTCAATGGACTACAGGATGAGCGTGCAGCCATGGGGAACCACCCTCCACCCAGGCTCCTTGAGGATCCCCAGGAAAAGGGGGTCGTGCGAACAGAGCCGAGCGACAGCATGAACAGCCCGGTCACCACAACAGTGTTGACCAGCGTGAGTGAGGATTCCAGGGACCAGTTCGAGAACAGTGTTCTTCAGCTAAGGGAACAAGATGAATCAGAGATGGCTGTGTCTCAGGGGAACAGCAACACCGTGGACGGGGAGAACACGGGTGCAACTGAAGACATCAAGATTCAGTTCAGCAGGTCAGGCAGCGGCAGTGGGGGGTTTCTTGAAGGACTGTTCGGCTGCCTAAGGCCTGTGTGGAACATCATTGGGAAGGCGTACTCCACCGATTACAAATTACAGCAGCAAGGTGAGACAGTGTGGGCAGGGCAAAGACTTCTTGCATGAGTGCACCGTCAGCACCATTCCCTCCAACATTGAAACCTAGATAACCTTTGATGTGTGGGTCAGTTAAAGAACTAGGTCAGATGACTACCCCATGTCAGTTCCCTTCAGATCTTCTAAATAGACCAGATGCACATTTGGTGTGTCTTTTTGGCTGGAACCCATCTTATATGGTCATCCTGTCTAGTGGTGTCCAAAGTAGAGAACATACAACACAATCCATGAGTTTAAAATAAGAAAAAAATATTATAACTCCTCTTTTTCTCTCTTTTAAAATTTCTACTTTCATGAATGCCTTCAGATATATTTGATATTATAATATAGTTGTGTAGATATACAATTTTTAAATAAATCACATAGTGGGTGCATGTTTAAGCATTTTTTTTTTTTTTTTTTTACTGTTAGTCTATATAATCAAAAGGTCTGATGGCCAGGCTGGGGTTATAGCTCAGTGGTAGAGAGGTTGCCTCACATTCATGAGGCCCTGGGTTTGATCCTCAGAACCACATAAAAAAATTAACTAATTAAAAATAAAGATATTGTGTCCATCTACAACTAAAAAAAAAATTAAAAAAAAAAAAAGGTCTGATGGGTAAAGTGGCATGAGTCTCTAATCTCAACTACTCGGAGACTAGGTGGAAGAATCACTTGAATCCAGGAGTTCAAAGACAAGCTGGGCAACATAGCAAGACCTCATCTCAAAATAAAAGAAAAAAATAGTCTGATGGTCATTGGGCTAATTCATTACCAAGCAGAAGTCACATGGTAATGTCCTTGAAGATCATAGGACTACCTTAGATTACAGTAAAAAGGAATTATTATTTTATAGTAAAGGTATAGAAAGCTCACATTTTGAAGAAAGAACAAAATATCTAACCAGTCTTGAGAAGAATATTATGTCTAGATCCCACAGTTTTTTAAATAGTGATTTTTCAGTTGCCATTATTGTATAACATGTGTATTCATATATTAGAATTCAAGTATTATACTTTTGAAGTAGGGGGAACACGTGGTCCTCATGTTCTTTATAACCTAACTTTATTCTCTAAAAGGACTTTTTACTGATAACAAAAGCAACATATATATGGAATTTGAAAAATAAAAGTAACTTCCCTAAAATATGTTAAAATAATCTATGATCCTTACTCTCTTGAGAATAACTACTATTAATGTTTTAAGAATATGTTACGTTGGGCTCAGCACTTGTCTAGCATGAATGAAGCCCTTCCTCAGTGCCACAAAAAAAAAAAATCAGCATGTATGTTGTTTGTGCATTATATATACTTTTAAAAATGGAGACATACTATTTGTAGCATTTTTTTCATTCATATTGTGAACATTGTGTCTATTTCTTAAATATATTTTAAGCATAATTTTTAATGCCTACCTAATATTAAATTGTCCAAATGTGCTAACATTTATTTAAAGAATCTCCTATTGCTCACCTCTGAATTTGTTTTTATTTTTAGAGATTGTAAGTCACATTGCAATGAATATTTGTCTATCACTTTATTTTTGCATATATCTTTGTTTAGTTCTTAGTATAAATTCCTAGATGAACAATCATTGAGTCCAACAGATTTTTTTTTGTTTTTTTAAAGACTTCTTTTTAGTTGTAGATGGGCACAATACCTTTATTTTATTTATTTACGTGGTGCTGAGGATCAATGCTTGCAAGACAAGCACTCTACTACTGAGCCACAACCCCAGCCCAGATTTGTTATTTTTAAAGTTTTTGATACATTTCCTTGTGGCCTTATTTAAATGATTATTTTCTTGAGTGCTAGCATCAAGAAATTCTGGAAAGAGCTGGGTGGGGTGGTGCATGCCTGTAATCCCAGCAGCTCAGGAGGCTGAGGCAGGAGGATTGTGAGTTCAAAGCCAGCCTCATCAAGGGTGAGACAGTAAGCAGCTCAGTGAGATCCTGTCTTTAAATAAAACATAAAACAAGGCTAGGGATGTTGTTCAATGGTCAAATGCCCCTGAGTTCAATCCCCAATACCTCCCTGCCAAAAAAAAAAAAATCTGAAAAGAAAAAAATATAGACCAAAGTTGAGATTGTTTTATTTATCTTACAAGTAAATAACTGAATTTCAAACTCTGTGATCCTCCCTTCAGTCTGTTCATCTTTCAGTCAAGAGTATGGACAGCTTTTCCACAAGAACCTATTGACATCAGTCACCATAGTCCCTTTCCTCATGCATCTGTGTTTCCTATTTCCGAAATAGGAAAATACCAAATAAATCAAATACCAACTTTCTCTCAGTACCCATCCTCCAGAAGTATATTGGGATTTACTGGTAAATCTTACAGTTCTAAGTACTTTTCAGGATTTTTCAACCACAGCATCCATTCCTGCTGCATGCAGAAATTCTTCATCAGTTTTGTGTTATACGTATTCTATCTGTCTGTCTCTCTTTCATGCATACACTAATACCCTACACATTCTACTCTCAGCTGCCTTCATGATTTTTAGGTTCCAAGGAAATTAAAGTTGTTTCTTGTCACACAAAGTTTGAGGAGTCCTGTGTTAAGCAGTACTAAATAGCAATATGGATTAAAAATTGGAAATAAGGGCCAGGCACAGTGGCACACGCTTGTAATCTCAGTGACTCCAGAGGCTATCCCAAGTTCAAAGCCAGCCTCAGCAATTTAGTGAGGCCCTCTCTCAAAATGAAGAATAAAAAAGACTAGGGAGATGGTTCAGTGGTTAAGCACCCCTGTTCAATGCCGGGTACCAAAAAAAAAAAAAAAAAGGAAATAAGGGTAAGCACAAAAAAGAAAATAAAAATTACCTGTCATCCTAAAACCCTTTCTTTCTTTCTCATCCTACGATTAACTTTCTTTCTTCCTTCCTTCCTTCCTTCCTTCTTTCCTTTCTTTTTTTGTGGTACTCAAAATCAGACCCAGGGTCTTGCACATGCAAGACAAGTACCCTACCACTCATCTATATTTGCATCTGTCCATAATCCATTCTTAATGAACATATTTAACTTATTATTTTTTAAAAGTTCCCTTTTTTCTGCTTAGACATAAAACCTAATAAAAAACTAACACCCACTTATGTAAAAAAAGATATTTGGTTTTGAGGGTTTTTACTTGTCCAGTCTTGTACTTATTTTGGTGATAATTTGGACATCTCAGTGTCCAAACACATCACTGAGGCTCAGACTCATAAAAGGGGGCAATAAACATATCCTGTACATCTGCTAAATGAAGCCTTTTAATTTTTTTTTTAGTTCTATAAACTTGAATTCAATTTTGTTCCAATCAATTATGTGACTTTCAGGAAACCTTATTTCAGGAAAAATTAAGAAACAGACCTGGTCAGCATTAATTCTCAACATGGTACAGCAGATGCCCAGCTCCTCAGCAGATTGCAAAGAGTTAGGCACTAAGGGCTAGTGTTGCTGTGAGCTTGAAGAGGGATTTACCAGCCAGAAACTGAATATAGTGCTTCCTTCTCAGCTCTGAGATCAGAGCTAATCTTTAATCCTACATTGCAATCAACCACAGAATAACACATGTAACAGATGTATCCCCCTACTCTTGGTATTTAAGAAGAAATTTCACTAGATTTTTAAAAATTTTAATGATGTCCTCATCTCCCTTTTAAGTATCCTCATAGTGAAACCCAAGTAAGGTAGTATGTGTTATTGAAATATTTTATGGACAAATAGTTTCCCATCTTGAAGCAGGTATTATCATGGCCACATCTAAATAAACAAAAGAAAACTTTTGCCTTAAAGTAGGTATTTTAGTCAGCTTTTTCGCTACTGTAACTAAAGGACCCAACCAACACAATTATAGAGGAGGAAGAGTTTATTTGAGTGCTGATGGTTTCTGAGGTCTTGGTCCATAGAAGGCTGGCTCCATTCCTCAGGGCTCCAGGTGAGGCTGAACATCATGGCAGGAGAGGGTAGCAGAGGAAAGAAGCTCACATCATGATCAGATAGTAGAGAGACTCCACTAACCAGATACAAATATATTCCCAGAGCCACTCCCCAATTCCCACCTCCTCCAGCCACACCCTACCACTTCAGTTACCACTCAGTTAATCCTATCAGGGGATCAAATCACAGATTGGGTTAAGACTCTTCCAACCCAATCATTTCTTCTTTGACCCTTCTTGTCTCACACATGAGCTTTTGGGGAACACCTCACACCCAAATTATAACAGTGGGTGATGTGAGGCTTTTCCTCAGTCCTATGAGTCACAATGGATATTGGAAATAAGTTAGTAGTTATTGTGATCAATCAATCAGAGAGAGAGAGAGAGAGAGAGAATGTGAGAGAGAAGCTGGGAAAGGGTACAAATGGGATAGATATAAGAGCAGCAAAAATTCTTGGAACTAACTCTAGAGAGAATATAGCCAGTTCAGTTCTGTCTTATAATGAGGTTCATTATCTTGCCTGACAGTTACCCAGCTATCCAAATTTATATGTCCTTATTGCTTTCTCTTTCCTGCTACTTTCCCATTCTTTGGCTTTCTCCTGGATACCAACAGGGACTGAAAGATGAAGCAGACAGGACTAAATTCACATTAATTAGTTTTACTTCTGGTAATTAGTTCCAACAAAAAGATTGATGGATACATGGTTGAAATATTGCTTTCTTTATTTTATACTCTTGTTCTTGAATGGCCAGTGCTATCCCTTTTCTTTTTCCATGGGTAATTAAGGCTTGACTGAATATAGCTGAATAGCACAGGCATGAGCTATCATTGGAAAAAGAGAATTTTATTCCTTATTATAACACCATAAACAGTTGATATTTGAATGCCAAATATATTTGCCATTTTCATTTTAATAATTCGCTTATAATTCATTTTATAAAAATACTAAATACTAGGCATTATTTTTAAAAATATAGTGATTATAATGTAAGCATCATAACACAATATGAAGAGAAAGGATGAATTAATTAATTGAATGATTTAGGAATTACTAAATAGCAATACCCATAAAATTTATATTTGCCTTCACAACACATTCCAAAATAAACTGCAGAAAGATATAAACGCTAAATTTTTAAAAATCAGCTCTAGATAGCTTTAGAAGACAGGCTACATTTTCTACAATGGAAAAAATTACAAAGTAAATACTAAACTATAATGAAATATTTTGTTTAAAAAACAGTAAAATTAGCTGGGTATGGTAGCACTTTCCTGTAATTCCAGCTACTCAGGAAGCTGAGGCAGGAGGATCACAAGTTTAAGGCCAGCCTCAGCAACTTAGTGAGACCCTATCTTGAAATTTTTAAAAATTTTTAAAAAGGGACCAGGATATAGATCAATGGTAGAACACTTGCCTCTTACTTATAAGGCCGAGATTCAATCCCCAGTACTATAAAAGATAAAAAATAAAATTAGAAGAAAAAGGCTTATGAAAAATATTATTTTCATTTTTATCAAAAAATATTTAGAGAACTTCTTCAAATTTATTAGAATGACCCTGTCTGGATCCGAATAGATAAATGGACAATTCATACAAAGCAGATATGTATATTAAACAAATGTGAGGAAATGATCTGTATTTGACAATTAAACTAGTTCAAACTCATAAAACACTATTTTATACCTAATTAGATTAGAACAAAAAATAATTGATGATACTGCTAGCAGAGTTGTGATGAAACCAACAGGTTCAGACATTGCTACTATCAGCAAAACTAGTAAACTCCTCACTTGTAATGAAAACAGTAAGTAGATGAAGAATCTGTAATACATGAAATAGTATATATCACTACAACTTTTACATAGCTGTAAACATAAAAACTAGAAAGGATTTTAAAGAGGAATAAAATCACATCTATAATGGGCAATGAGCAAGGACCTGTGGTAGAAAAAGAGAAAAGTTGACCAAACTTATAAGCTTAGGGTAAGAAGGTAGGGTTGGAGAAGTGTTAGGACATACTTTGCTTGAAAGATATCTCTAATCTGCTCAATTTTAGTGGTTTAAAATACACACACACACACACAAATAAAATACCAAGATGCATAGAAAAGTTGTCTTTCAGTGGGGTCAGAGGGTAGGAGTTCCAGTGATGGTGATGTTGGTACCTTCAGAATGGCCTCATAGAATGGTCCCTGAGCAAATTTCAAGATCTCTTCAAGTTTGTTTCTCACTTGTGTGCCTAGATACTTGGGAAGTGCCATTTGAGGAGATCTCAGAGCTGCAGTGGCTGGGTAGTGGAGCCCAAGGAGCTGTCTTCTTGGGCAAATTCCGAGCAGAGGAAGTGGCCATCAAGAAAGTGAGAGAACAGAATGAGACGGATATCAAGCACTTGAGGAAGTTGAAGCACCCTAACATCATCGCATTCAAGTAGGTCAAGGCTTTATCTTTTTTTTTTTTTAAGAAATAGAGATATTTTATTTCTTTCAATATATGTACTTAGGTTCTTACTTTGAAAGACATTTCAAAATCACTGGATAGATTTAGCACTGTGCTAGATTGATTGGAAGGACATTAAAGAACTATTAAATCTGAGTCATGTCCTGAAACATCTTTTAATCTAAAAGTTCATTTTGCACAAGCATGCACTGCATGGGAGAGACACACACGTGGGGCAGGGAGGAAGGAAGTGGGTTTCTACCAAGCAGTCAGGCCTTCTGCAACAACCTCATTTATCAACGGGGTGACAGAGGTCACTTCAAAATAACCTGAATATCCCAAGACTCAGTTTAAAAAAAAAAAAAAAAAAGCTAATGTCTGAAGTGTTCAGAGAATATCCAATCCCTGTGTAATAGATATTTACTAGTTTCTATTAGCATTCCTTCTTAATATTGTCTTATAATAAACAGGTACTTTCAGAGCATAATCTCAGGTTTTACTAGATCCCTTTTCTATCAATGCAAAAGTTTTCTAAATCTTGTGATAGTGGAGTTATTGATGATATTAACTTATGTTATATTCCTTTCACAAAGTCGTTGTTTTCAAGAGTGTGTGAGCATATATTTCTAGTCTAGACTATTATTTCTTAATATCAACTGGGATCTCTAACAGAAGGAAGAGAGGCAAAGGTAAATTTGTGAAAGTCACCAAACTTGGAAGTGCTAAGCTCTAAAATATTTTAACCTCTTCTACCTGTACCTTTTCCTTGAGTTCCCCCTCTGATCAGTCTTTACATGTTGCCATAGTATTGAACAAATGAATGCTAACTGGCTTTAGGTGGGATGAAAGTTTAGAAACTAGAGGTTCTGGCATATTTGATAATATTTCTCCTTCCTGGAGAGTAGTATAACCAATGAGGATATAGCTAAAAGTGAAATAACTTACATATCTCTTCCCTAAAGTAGGAGCAAGTTTCCCAACAACTTTAAGAGGATCTTTCACTATAAAACTCACCTTACAAGCCAGGCTGGTGGCACATGCCTATAATCCCAGTGACTTAGAAGGCTAAAGCAGGAGGATCCGGAGTTCAAAGCCAGCCTCAGCAACAGTGAGGCGCTAAGCAATTCAGTGAAACCCTATCTGTAAATAAAATATAAAATAGGGCTAGGGATGTGACTCAGTGGTCAAGTGCTGCTGAGTTCAATCCCTGGTACCCCCCTCAAAAAAAAAAAAAAAACACCTCATGTTACAAAGCTAAAAATGTCATGTGACAAGTCTTAACTGGAATCACAACCCCAAAGTAAGGAATAGAAGTTTTTGGTACAGGTTTTGTAGAATGGGTTTTAATGAGTACGTAGGTTAAGAAGACTCCGTGGAAAGGGAAAAACGTGAAAAGGAGAAAACATACTCAAAGACAGAGGAAGTGTTTGGATGTATTTCCTCATGCAGAGAACATTCATGTAGAGTACATGAGAGTGAGCTTCAATTTCTGTCATAATTCCATCATTTGTTGCCCTAGTACAGCTAGGAGGATGCATGACTAAAATTAAGTGCTACAGAGACCAATTATAGTTTTTCCAAGGATGATATACTTCAAAAGATAACAGGATAATTATTTTAAGCAGCTAATAGAGACCCCATCTTCTTTTCTTCATTTTATTTCTCTGAAATGATCAGACTCCCTCTATGCTGTATCCTCCTAAATGGGAGAAAGGGCCAAGAACTTCTAAACTCAGATAATAGAACAGTGGGTTGAAACAAAGAGTGTTTGATAGATTAGCATGGCTTTTGGTCTCCTGAAATGACCTAGGCTGTGTGTCCCAGGTAAGAGAACTTTCCAAGGACGATGCCCTGGGTAATGGGAGGTAGAAATGTATCCCTAAGAGGATGAAGGAGCAAGAAGCTTTATCTTTCCTTCCATCCTTTTGTTTCTTCCTTCTTCCTCCCAGTCTTTTTCCCACCTCATCCTCTGACCCTCCTACCTGTATTTGCAGTTTTCAGCATTGTTGGGCAAGTTCTGCTGCACTGCTGCCCAGCCATTTAAGCTGAAGATCCCCAGTTGCCTTTACCTCCACATGGCAAACAATAGTGAGACTGTGTCCCTGACCCATTACACCATGCATTTGGGGCATTGTGCAGTGTTATATTTGCAGCCATCTGTGCCATGTGTTGCTTGGCCAGTGAATCACATTCAGGACCGTCTGGAAGATATGAGGACATTATTAGATTTTAATACATGTCCCTGGATTCTGATTTCTGGGCTTATAGCTTCTTTTGAAGTTAGTAAGAACTATGTGTAGAAAGGGAAGTGCAAGATAAGAATGTTATATATTTTTCTTCCATTTTTTTCTAGTAATCCTTTAAGAAAATCCAACCTGACTGTTCCTAATAAATTCAGTACCAAAAGGAAGAAAAGGTAGCAATTAGAACTGATAATAAAGCTGTTATTTATAGCAACTAAGAAACCTTGTCATAGTACAAGGCTGATGGAATGATCGCTTCTCATTCGTCAGTCAAGAGAGATGAAAAATTTAAAACGTATCACTGTTAGACCCTGTGTTTGAGTGACAATAAAGCATAGTTGAATAGGATGCTGAGTACTTTCAAACAAATATTTATCTTGATATTCTTAAATATTTTACATAATCCCAGTCCTATTCATTATTTCTCTACAATGACAATTAAATTATCTATTTGTAGTTGGTGTGTGTTCTCCTCTGAGTTCGTTTTTTTTTTTTTTTTTTTGAGATTTCTTAAAGGTCAAATAATAAAAACCTGAAAAAAAATTTAAATTTGTTCTTTTTAGTTATATATGAAACTTGAAAAAAATTGCATGAAAAGTCAAGATGAGAATTCTGAGTAGCCTAGAAAATAATAGGAGAGTAATAGAAGTAGCTTTGTGGCATTTGACAGGCACATCAAGGCACAAAAAATGAAGTCTAATTAAATTTCTTTAATTATAACAAGATGTTCACATTATCAGCACCTCAAACCATGGCCTCTAAGTTCTTTCCTCACAGTAGCCTAAGAGATAGGACATGAATTGGTAGTTGGCTCAAGACCCTAACTGGATGTCATATAGATAGTACTCTGTGAATTTTTCTAGAAAGTTTCAAGGGAGGTGTACACACCATTAAGAGGTGGGACACAAAGAATTGCAGATGATAGTTATTCTCCTTTTGTCTTGAGAACAAAACTGTGAGGTAGACTTAATATCATTTTTCCCGCTTTTGTGAGCTAATGGAATTAACATAGGAATTCCCAATATGCTTGTCTATACTGAAGTTTAAAAGCTAAAATGAAGGTAGTACCATACAGAAAGAGGAGGCAGCCAGGCTTTGAAGTTAGACTGAGTTTGAAACTGACTTCTGTCACTTATTAGTTATATGAACTAGTTGTAATTCAGACAAGTCACTTTCACTTTGAGCTTTACCTGTAAAAGTGGAAGAGATAATACTTATCTTCCAGTAGTTTGTAAGACAGATCTTAAATAAGACAAACTGTGTGGGGTATTAAATAAGACAAACAAACATAAACATGTCTGAAAAATTTAAGTTTTTTTTTCCTGATATTATTCTTCTTCCTGTTCCATGCCTCTGCACATGTTACTGTGAAGGCTTTCTTCAGCTATGAATATTGAGGTGAAGTCAAGAAACATTTATCAAGGACTTACTAAGAACTTCCAAGTCTTGTGGGAGAGAGAAAAGAATTTGAAGACCTTTCCCTTCAAGGAGTCTGTAATCTCTCTGAGCAGAGAAAAACTGCATGTAAAATATTCATGGCTGCTATATGTTATAGGAACTTAGAGAAGTGAGAGATCTTTTCAGATTGGAATAATCAGGATACGTTTCATGAAAGATGGAAATATAGTCTGCATAGATGTATATAATATGTTATATAACGTTACTTTTATTCTAAATAAAAATGATTTTCAGACTACATAAAAATGGACTTGTTAGTTATTTTAAATTCAACTAATTTAAAATCCATTAAGTAATAATAAAAATAATTTGAATTCTCAGTTCCCTCTATATAATACCCCCTTTCTTAATGTAAAAGGAAGATACTTTTATACTTAACAAAGATATATTGCTATTCTAAACAATCTAAAACAACACAGTGTCTAGCCTATATAAGCCTCAGAAAAGGGTGTTCTTTGTCCCAGAATGGAATGGTTCCACATAAAACTACCAGACAGCCCAGCCTATAGATTACTAGAGTGACCAGAACAAAACAAAATTGTCTATATGCATAATAGACCAACCTGTAGGCTAGAGAGATTTTAATTCTAAAGAACTAGGAACTATTAACTATGTGCACCTTTTAAATCAATTGGAAAAAGAATTTGTCTTTATTAAATATTCTTAAACTATAAAAATATATATGTATATATATGTATATGTATGTATGTACATGTTTATGTTTTTCTTGGAAGGGGTGTTTGTACTCAGGCCCCATGTTATTGTATCATCATGGAATACTGTGCCCACGGACAACTTTATGAAGTCTTGAGAGCTGGCAGGAAGATTACACCTCGATTACTAGTAGACTGGTCCACAGGAATTGCAAGTGGAATGAATTATTTACACCTCCATAAAATTATTCATCGTGATCTCAAATCACCTAAGTGAGTTTTGGAGCTTATTTTTCACATATTTTGCTTTGTTGTTTTGAAATAAGGAATTTTTATCAACTATAATTGAAGTTTTCAGACATCATACTTTGAGTTCAGATTAAAGTCAGCACAGTGGGTAATTCTATTTGCCTATCTTTTGGAATATTTGTTGAGCTGCTTACTTACCTTACATGTGGCAGATATGTTCAAGTACCTGACACCATTTTCCCCTTTTTATTGTCGCTTTTAAATCGTATAATTGTACAAAATTCATTATTATCTGAACTATTCAACTTCTATCATCTCTGATAATTAATACCAAACTTCTCTACCAGAAAGCTTGGTTTGTTGTATTCCTACTGGTTTGTTGATTGCAGTACCAGGGACTGAACTCAGGGGTGTTCTATGAATTATTTACACCTCCATAAAATTATTGATTTTATAGTCTTAGTGTATACAATAGAGTAAAAATGGGTGATAAGAAACAGAGGCAAAAAAAAAAAACATAAAAACATTAGTACCAAAACTTGTTCACAAAATATATGCCATAAACTTATAGGTGTGTTAATGGCACACATCTATAAATTCAGCTACTCTGGAGGCTGAGGCAAGAGATTGCAAGTTTCAGGCCAGCCTGAGCAACTTAGCATGATCTCATCTCAAAATAAAAGATGGCTTGGGAAGTAGCTCAGTGGTAAAGCACCTACTACTAAAAAAAGAAAGAAAAAAGTATCTTATAAGATTTTGTACAGGTGTTTTTGAGAACTATAAATTTGGCATTGAGCTTCTGAGAGTCTAAACAAAGGAGAAAATAAACAGGTACAAGTTATAAAGTGGTCATAACAAACATAGTTATTTAAGAGAAGCAGAGCTATTTCTGTTAATCTCTGATTTCCAAATGATTCCTTGGTAGCCAATAATCACTTAAGTGTGTATTCAACTCCCCAAATTTCATGAAGGAAAGAAATGAATTGGTAAAATGGCATATGTCCATGTAGCTCTATTTTTTAAACATATTTCTCATCACATTTTGGTTTACAGAAGCAGAAAGACTGTTTTTTCAAAAACATTTGCATAGTGCTTTATTGGTTTACAACATATTTTATAGACATTATCACATCTTTGATTGTATCAAAAACTGTGGATGTTAGAAGTGATAATATCATTATTATTTTTGTTTATGTAAGAGAAAGTAGGCCTCAGCCCAAAGGGACTAGGACTTGAACCTAGAACTTTAGAGCCAGACTACAGCATCCTACCTCATTATGTGAAGATAAGGGATTCATAATGAATCCTGCCTCTTCTCCTCTAGGGAAGATAAAATCAGTCCTTGGTTAAAAAGTTAATGAAACTCTTATTTATCATCATCATTCTCAACAATGTTTATTACAATTGTTAGCTCATTGAACAAACTCCTTCCTGTACTTGCAAATAAACATTACTATATAGCGTTCATTCCTTCTGTTCATATTCTTAACACAATCTGTTGCCTTTCTCATCCCCTGCATACACATAAAATATGCAAAATACTTACTAAAGGCATCTTCAAATGGTCTCTTGAAACCAACATGTTCTCCTTAAGAATTAAAGGTTAGAATAGTAAGTAGGTCATCCAGTGTTAACAATGCCACCCTTAACCCTAGAGGCTGAGGTGTTTTTGGGTTTCAATCGAACTTTAAGAAGACAAAGATCAGGGCTGGGGTTGTGGCTCAGTGGTAGAGTGCTCACCTAGTATGCATGAGGCACTGGGTTTGATACTCAGCACCACATACATATAAAATAAAGATATTTTATCAACCTAAAACTAAATATATATGTATATATGCATATGTATATGATATACATATATATATGAAGACAAAGATCAACCTGACATGTTGTAAGGAAAACTTTCACTACCAACATTAAATCTGCAGTCTGTGTGTCCCCAACATTGTCTCAGAAGATTTCAGAAAAGTTTCAGTGTTATATCATCTCTAATCTCCTCCCTTTTCTCATACCAACTGAGGCAGAAGAGGAAGTTCCTACAGTTTTTCTGTTCCTGGAGGCCTATCATGTTTTTTTAATTTCATGGCATATGACACTATCAATGCTCCAATTATGTCAGATAGCTCATAATATTTTAATCCACATGAATTTACACTAAGACTATAAAATCAAAGCTCCTAAACTATGTAAATCATATCCCGTGCAAAACCAGGGGAAGGATGTGGATAGAGGTATTCCAGTGCAACTGTACGCACAAAGCTGTTGAGTAAGTAGCAAGTCATTTGGCGTTGGGGGTGGAGGTGAGCAAGTGTGAAGTCCTTGGTTCAAATGACAAGGGCAGGAACAAATTCAGAAGTTTTCTGTTTTCTATTTTCCTTGAGTCTGATGCTATTTGAGTATTAAGCTTCTTATCTTTAAAAATAGGTACCTAGGGCTGGGGCTGTAGCCTAGTGGCAAAGGACTTGCCTGGCACATATGAGGCACTGGGTTTGATCCTTAGTACCACATAAAAATAAACAAATAAAATAAAGGCATGCTGTCCATCTACAACTATGAAAAAGAATTTTAATAGGTCCCTATATCATTAAGGCTCTGGCACCCTAACTCATTAATATTCAGAAGTTGTGAACAGGTTTTTTGGAGTGAACTCAGCCTAATGTATGAGGCTGCCCATACTTTGGATTTATATTCACCTTTAAGGCAAGCAAAAGCATCTGCTCCATGACACATTTCAGAAAAGTCCTATGAAAAGTAAAACATGACTTTTGTGGAAGCTACTTAAGCTTAGATTTATTCCTGCTTTTTCTTTTCAGCAATAGTGAAGTGCAGCATTCATATGTGTCTTTTAATGGATCTAGTGTCATGGTCCACTGCATGACATAACTGGCCATTATTTAAATAATGTTTTTAAATGAGGTGTTTTCCTTAGTGGGTTGGCCAAGACTGGCAAGGGAGTAAACCAAAACTATTGAGCACTGGTGTTTTATGTATCCAAGCTCATTTAATTCAAGTGAAAATTCTATGGGACCATTATTACCGGCACATAATATCTTATCCATGACTTGTGCAGCCAGATTATTTCAAAAAGGTAATATAGTGCTAACCTCAGACCTCCAAGAAAGTCTAGAGGAACTCCCTCTAATCAGCCACATTGACATACCTGTGGCAAAATCTATGAAATTCACACAAAATGAGATATAATGATTTTGCCTTATACATATGAAAAGTATTTTTGAGACCTTTTACATTTCTGAATTGTGAATAAGATATTGTGACCTGAATTGTCTCCATTTTATAGATTAGAAAACTGGTTTAGAAGAGTTAAGTAACTTGGCAAAGTTACACAGTTTGCAAATGGTGGAGGCAGGATAAAACTAGGCATTATGAGGATAGCAGAATGCAAGTTGAACTCCACAGGAAGCAGCAAACAAAATCTTTAATTGCCATTTAGAGTCATGGTTTTCATTACTACTAATGATCTGGATGTTTTCTTTATTTCTTTTTAAAGTGTTTTAGTGACTCACACAGATGCAGTAAAAATTTCAGATTTTGGTACATCTAAGGAACTCAGTGATAAAAGTACCAAGATGTCTTTTGCTGGCACGGTTGCATGGATGGCACCAGAAGTAATACGGAATGAACCTGTCTCTGAAAAAGTCGATATATGGTGAGTGATGCCATCTGTGCCAAATAGATTCACCCTATTAACCCTTTCTTCCTGCAACAGTTTTACTACCCAGAATATTCATTACTGTTGTTCACTTCTGGTTGATTTTCGTCTTATTTACAACTAAGGTAGTACCCAGTATGATGCTATATGGTTGGAAGGATCAGAAGAGGAATTAGGGTAAATATCCAGTTAGTAAATCATCAGTTCCCTAAGAAAATATGCTGACCTTTCTGGAAAACTAAAAGTCTATTTCAAATGACCATTTAGTATAGTCTTCCTGAAATGTACTGCATAATTCTCACCCTTTTGAGTAAAATACATTAAACAAAACTTACGTTTGCTAAACCAGGCATAGAGGCATATAAGACCCTGTCTCAAAACAGAAAAAAGAATTGGAGATGTAGTAGTGGAGCACCCCTGGATTTAATTCCCAGTACCTGAAGAAAGAAAAGAAAAACCTATTTTTGATGATTCACATCATCATTACACATATTTGTAATGTACTTTGTTATGATACAGTTTTGTGCTCTAGACCTATTTGAAATGTATAAGTCTATTTGCCTTTTTATTGAATAACTCCTATGAACTATGCTTTTATTTATTTATTTTTAATTTATTTTTTAGTTGTAGTTGGACACAAAACTTTTATTTTATTTATTTTTATGTGGTGCTGAGGATCAAACCCCGGGCCTCACACCTGCTAGGTGAGCAGTCTACCACTGAGCCACAACCCCAGTTATATGCTTTTATTTTTTATCTTTATCAACATTTCCTCTGAGGTCATAAGCCTTAGTTTTTATTTTCCCTGTAATTGCTTTTTCCCCCCACCCTTAAAATTGGCTACTGGAAACTTTTAGGCTTTAAGAAAATAATAGCATATGTTAAAATTGCATATAGCATCTGTGTAAGTGGGATAAGATAGAGTATTCATAGTTTTGATAGTTAACAAAGTGTCCTCCTTAGGAATTATACCAATTTGTGTTCTAATCAGAAATGTATAAGAGTGTTTTCTCAACAAATATATGCTACACTTTGTATTTTTAACTATTATGTAGATCAAAAATGGCATCTTGGAAGCAGTTTTCATTTGCATCCCTGCTATTATGAGTAAGGTTATACATTTTTGTATGCTTAAGAGTCATTCATCATTTCTTATTTGTGAACTATTCACATCCTTTTTTTCTGATCTTTTTTCTTATCAATTTATGAGGTGTTGTTTTTTGTTTTGAGGGGCTTTTTTGTTGTTGTTGTTGTTGTTTTGGTCCTGGGGATTTGAACTCAGAGTCACTCAGCCACATCTCCAGCCCTATTTTTTGTATTTTATTTAGAGACAGGGTCTCACTGAGTTGCTTAGAGCCTCACTTTTGCTGAAGCTGTCTTTGAACTCGCAATCCTCCTGCCTCAGTCTCCCAAGGCTCTGGGACAATTTATGAGCATTTTATATGTCAAGGAAATTTGCCTTTTGTATAGATGAATTGCAGATACTTTTTACATTTTGTTATTTTGCTTATAGCATTTTTTCCTCAGGCCAAAATAGTTTTAATATAGCTCAATATATCAACCTCTCCTTTTCTCTTCTAGGTTTCCTAGTTAGAAAAGCCTTAATCACTCTTAAGATTATAAAAAAAATTCCCAATGTTTTCTTTTATTTTCCTTTTTTTTGCATTTAATTCTTTGATTCATTTAGAATTTATCTTTTTTTGGGGTGTGTGTGTGTGTGTGTGTGTGTGTGTGTGTGTGTGTACAGAGGATTGAACCCAGAGGCACTTAACCACTGAGCCACATTCCCAGCCCTTTTTTGTATTTTATTTAGAGACAGGGTCTCTCTGAGTTGCCTAGGCTGGCTTTAAACTAGTGATCCTCCTGCCTCAGCCTCCTGAGCTGCTGGGATTACAGGCATATACCACTATATGGTGAGGGATAGATTTAATTTTTTCCCCAGTTTTCCCAATAGCAATTATTAACTAATCAAATTTTCCCGCTAGTTTGTGATGCCACTTCTACTGTATGTTCAGTTCTTGAATGTATTTATTAATTTCTAGATTTTAATTCCAGTCCATTAGTCTGTTTGTCTATTCATGTACCAGAGTTAATTATTGAGACTTTATAATGTCTTAATATCTGGAAGTGTTGGTTACCCTTCATTGATTTTTTTCAAAAGTTTCATGAATTTTTCTGTTTTTTAATAATAATATATTCTAATTTTAAAACTGGATATATATATACATATATATATATATATGTTAATTTGACCAAAAATTAATTAAAAATTAAAATATAAATCAGTCTTTCTGAAATGTCTTCTATACATGTTCCTGGTACTACTGTAGGTCTTTTGGAGTGGTGCTTTGGGAGCTGCTGACAGGAGAGATCCCCTACAAAGATGTAGATTCATCAGCCATTATTTGGGGTGTTGGAAGCAATAGCCTACACCTTCCAGTTCCTTCTACTTGCCCTGATGGATTCAAAATCCTTATGAAACAGACATGGTAAGAAATACATTTCTCTTCCAACATTCTCTTTTACTTTTCTCTGCAAAGGCATAATACAACTTCTCTAAAACAAGTAGGTAAGTCTCTAATGTGTGTTTGCAGTCAACCATCTGGTGGTGGAAAGATTAGAGCCTTAGAGTCTGAAACCCTTGATTTCAAATGCTGGCCCTGCCTTTTTCTTTGGGGTGTGTCATCCAACTATCTGTCTTCATGTAGAGAGAGTGCTTGCTCATGGAGTTGTTTTGTGATTAATTAAAATTTATAAGTGAAGAAATTGGTATGATATCTTGAAATAGTAGGACTTAGTTAATGATAGCTATTATTATTTTACCAGGCCTAGTGGACTATTATCAAATAGCTCACTGCTCCTAGATTTCCATTTCATCAATAGAGGTATCTCTAAATTGTAGTTTTTGTTTGCCCTTCAGTACATCAAAACTATTTGTGATATAGCTATTTGGAGTTAAAATAGTGTATTTCATAAAGTAGAATAAAATTTTTATCTTCCTAGACACAAATTCTGAAATGCACAAGCTGTCTTTTTTACTTTTAGGCAAAGTAAACCTCGCAACAGACCTTCTTTTCGGCAGACACTCATGCATTTAGATATTGCATCTGCAGATGTACTTGCCACCCCACAGGAAACTTACTTCAAGTCTCAGGTAAGCTCAGAAACCTTCTAACAGATGCTACTGACCAGACAGGGAACTCTTTAGGAGAAAGGGTAACTCTTAGAAGGGGCCATTTTCATTCTTATAACAATGAAATAATCCTATTCATTGTTAAATAATAATGATACTTCACACATATGGCATTTGGGAGTTTGTTAAGCACTTGATGTACATTATCTCATTTGAAAAGAACATGTATTTGAATGTTGTCCTTATAGTGGGTTCTGGTAAAATTGTTGAAGAAAAAAGAAGAAAAGAGGATGCTAAACCTATAATATACCTCCATTTGAATTGGAATTTATGGCTGATCTTCATGAAAGCATTGCTTTCCTTGAAGCAGAAAAGCTGAAATACAGAGGAAAGAGATTGAATACCAGAAAGATCCGATGAGGCAATTAAGCCCAGAGAAAACCTTTTCTCTAATTCTGTGTGTTACCTAGTAATAGCTCCAAATAAAATATAATTTAATGTATCTGTTTGCCTTCACTGTACTAAAACCTTCCCAAAACTCATGGTTTAAAACAGTAAGCCTTTATTTAGATTTCCTGTGGGATGGTGATTTGTGCTATGCAATTCTTCTGCTGCCTCTGACTCGGTAAGCTCACATATCTGCAGTCAGTTACCAGGTCAGCCAGGAGGCTGGCTGGCTCTAGACAGACTTATTCACAAGTCTGGGGATACTCTGGCTGTTAACGTGGTGTACCTCCGTTCTCCTCTGAGTGGCCTCTAATCCTTTAGCAGGCTAGTATGGGCTTGTTTTTGCAGTTTCTAAGGAATAATAAATCAGAGACTTATCCTATTAGTCAAAGTTCTAACACATTCTCTATGATCCTTGAACCTAACTTTCCCCATAGCTGTGTCTATAAATAGACTTGCCTCTATATTTTTAGAGTTTCTGAGAAATTATTATGTAAGTAAAGTGTTTGTTTACACAGAAAATAAAATGATTAAGAGGTTGACTTTATGACAGTTCATGTATTCTTTGATATGTAGTCAGAGAAATTCCTTGAGAACTATTAAAGCTCATCCATTCAAATACATGTAGGTATGAGGCACTGGATAAGAAATCTTTCAAATGTCTTCTGCTAGTATTCAGAAAAGATAGTCCTTTTGTGAAATGAAAGAGAATGATAGTGAATACTCCAGGAAATCATTCAAACCTTAGCATATGGTTGTAATCAGAGCTTTGCTTCTTTTACAATAAAACTACATATCTCAATTATAAAAATACTTTAAAGTACTCTTAACTGACAAGCCATTGAGACAATCAGTTCTATTGTATATATTTGGAAAATTTCAAATTCTTTTTTTTCCATTTTTTTTATTGATTGTTCAAAACATTACAGAGTTCATGATATATCATCTTTCATACATTTGACTCAATTGGGTTTTGAACTCCCCAAATACATAATGCAGACTCACTTCTGTTACATACTCACATTTTTACATAATGGCATATTAGTGACTGTTGTATTCTGCTACCTTTCCTATCCCCTACTATCCCCCCTCCCCTCCCCTCCCCTCCCATCTTCCCTCTCTACCTCCTCTGCAGTTGTTCAATTCTCTCCCCTTTTTCCCCCTTCCCCTTGCCCCTCATAACCTCTTATAATTTTGTGTATCACTGAAGGTCTCCTACCATTTCCATAATTCTAAACAGATTTTTACTGAAGTTCTCTGTAAAATAAATTTTTCTGGAGTTCTCCCACTCTGAAGCTAGTTCAACTTGAGCAACTAAATATCAAGAGTCAGTATCCTGGGCTGGGGATGTGGCTCAAGCGGTAGCGCGCTCGCCTGGTATGCGTGGGGCCCGGGTTCGATCCTCAGCACCACATACAAACAAAGATGTGTCTGCTGATAACTAAAAAAAAAATAAAATATTAAAAATTCTCTCTCTCTCTCCTTCTCTCTCTCTCTCTCTCTTTAAAAAAAAAAAAAAGAGTCAGTATCCTTAAAGGGCCAACCTATTTTATTATTGAGATACCCAAAGCATGGAGTATCTACACTGAGCTCAGGAAAGTTTCTTTGGGGAGAAGATTGAAGAGAAAATGTAGTACATTGGGCATTTGCCTTAGTTTGGGCTGCTACAACAAAATACCATAGATTGGATGGTTTATGATCAACAGGAATTTTTTCCCCATAGTTCTGAGGCTGGGAAGTCCAAGATCAAGTTCAAAACACCAGCAGATTTGGGGTTCTGGTAAGGGCCCAAGTTCTGGTTCATTGATGATGCCCTCTCACTGTGTCCTCACATGGCAAAGGGTCAACAAACTCCCTTGTGCCTGCTTTCTGAGGATACTTATTCCATTAAAAATAGGTAAGTTCTCATGACCTAAGCACCTCCCCAAAGGACTCTACCTTCTAATACCTTTACTTTGGGAGTTAAGATTTCAACATATGAATTTGGAGTGGGGAAAGTACAAACATTCAGACCATAACAGCCCTTTTTTGTTGTTATCACTTTGTTTGTTTATTTGTTTTGTTTGGTACTAAGGATTGAACTCAAGGCCACTCAACCACTGAGCCACATCCCCAGCCCTATTTTTTTGTATTTTATTTAGAGACAGGGTCTCACTGAGTTGCTTAGTGCCTTGCCATTGCTGAGGCTGGATTTGAACCCTCCAATCCTCCTGTCTCAGCCTCCCAAGCTGCTGTGATCACAGGCATGTACCACCTTTTCTGGCCATAACAGCACTTTTAATATTTATTAATCCATTCACATTTTTCTTCCAACGTAAAATTTCACTTCTCCCTCAACACCAAATCTGCTATTCTTGCTAGTTTCAAGATTTTTTTCAGGTATTTATAAGCTTATCTGACTCTAGGTCTGAAAGTGAGACTATCCCTGACTAATGTTAGTAAAATATTTATGAACTGTCTAGTGAGTTACTAGGAAAAGCAATGAACATTGAATCTAAACCCCTGTCTATCACTATAAACTACGTAACCTTCAATAAGTCACTAAGTTTTCTAACCCTTAGCTTACCCATCCAAACAAGGAAAATAATTGTATCTTCTTTTAGGGAGTTTCTGTGACAATCAAATGAAAAGATTAAAATGCAGGTATAGCATAAACTATTAAGAACTGTGTGATTATAAAATGTTATTCACCTCGCACAAAGTGTCCTTTGAGTTGTTATCTTCTGGGTGCTTTTTCAGATGAACTCCTGAGATGAATAAGATGGTAGCTAAAAAAAACTCCTAGTAATTGTGTTTTGACTTCATCCCTCCCCAAGAGGGAAGATCTGATTGTTTCACGTACACAGAATTTTGCTCTTGCCAGAGCAGTATTATACCTGAGGCCTTGCCTCCTCTCGCCTGCTGACAAGATGTTCTCAGTGTCATTTTCAATCAGTGGCTGTTAGCTCTTGGTCTCCACCTTCCACCAAACTGGTTGGTCAGGAGTGCTGCCAAGTGTCCAGCTGACCCCTTCCTGAGAAAAAGGGCTTCAGCAGCAGCACGTGTGTAAAAATGCATATAGAACAGATGACAAAGCAACGGATTTCAGCACAATATTAGATTCTGCCAAGGCTGTTACTCACCCCCAGACAATCACCCATTCTTCAAAGAGGCAATTATTGCTCCTGGTATTCAGCTGTATTCCATATTGGCCTTTAGAAAACAGCTGCTAGTTGGGTCCTATGCTCAGTTCCTAAATTCTCACACCATCCTCTGCTTTTGCACCATTCTTGCTTCCTCTTGAAAGCCACTATTGTTAGTTTTTCATTGCTGTGACCAAAATACCTGACTAAAACAACTTAATCCCTGGTTAGCCAACTCCATAGCTCTGGGCCTGAGGCAAGGCAGAAGAGCATGGAAGAAGGATGTGGCAGAGGACAGCTGCTCAGTTCCTGGCAGCCAGGAAGCAGAGAGAGGATTGCCAGAGAGAAGACAAACCCTTCTTGGGCACACCCTCAGTGACCTTCCTCCAATGAGGTTCCACCTCCCAATAGTTCATTCAGCCAGAAGGGGAGAGTCCCGTGATCTAATCACTAACCACAAGCTCCACCTCTGAACACAGGAGACTTTGGGGACATTCCAGATCCCATCGATACCACACTGTAACCACCCAGAGAGTGGTTAAAGAGATAACTGCACTTGTCCTGGGGCTAGCCTGTGCTGCCTTACAAGTATGCTTCTCCCGAGTGATTAGGTGCCAAGGCTAGGCCCTCACACTGGGAAGGCAGTAAAGAGGAACTGAGTGCCAGTTAAGAACTGGATCAGATGTTCTCTAAGGTTTTTCTGATTCAGAATCTATGATTCCTACTCCTAAGCCCCCAGCATCTTGCTTCTCTATTCCTTGAACTAACCTAGAACTGGCTCGACATTTTTTTCCTTTATAAAAATTATGTAAAATAAACATAGTATAAAGTTTACCATTTTACTAGGTTAAGTGTCTAATTCAATGGCTTTCATCATTGCATTCACACTGTTGTGAGTGGTCACTACTATTTCCAAAAATTTTCATCAACCCATTAAGCAATAACCCCCTTTCCCCTCCTCTGATCTCTGATAATCTCTATTCTATTTTCAGTCTCTATGAATTTGCCTATTCTAGATATTTCACTTAACTGGAATCAAAAGATGTTTGTCCTTAGTGTAGGGCTTGTTTCACTTACTTAGCATGTTTTCAATGCTCATATATATTGTAACATTTGTCAGAACTTCATTATTTTTTGTAGTTGAATAGTATTCTATTGTATAATACCACATTCTATCCATTCATCTGTTGAGTCAGTTTCATTTTGATATCTATATTATGGGAGATAAATAGAAACAATTTTTTTGGTACAAAAACTTTAAACATCTACTGAGTAACTTTAGAAACCTTCTAAATGTCACAGATTTCCCTAGGCCTTCTCTGGGAGGTAAAGGGGATATCATTAATGGAGTGATCCAGGTTTCACTTGATTGTTCCCTTACTTGCTTACACAGGACTTGTGAAGCACCCTCCTCCTTCCACACCTACACACTACACTATGCATTCTCAGGGAATTCCCAGGGAGGAGGAGAGATCTCAAATAGTCTCATATTGTCATCTGCTGTCCTTTCTCCTGACTCTGACTAAACACAGCCCTCTCCCTTCTGGCACAGCTGGGCATTTCCATATTGGTGAGCCCTCATTGTTTTCTGCTATAAGATTGTATTCCTAGTTGCCATCCATTAAAATGCTGCCATATCCTTAAGGGACTGCCCTCCCGCTCTGGGAGCTGCTCTCTGCTGCAGCAGAGCTCTAGAGTTCCCAGGATTCCAAAGCTGCATGTTGTTCTGTTTGTGTGATGAGCTCTTCCTTTCCCTGTTGATTCACACTGTGTGAAAGGTGGCCATGGCCTGATGTTTTACAAGTATGTTAGTGAAACAATGGGAAATGTCCCATCCACTCCTGTGACAGTGGTTCTGTTATAGGCCAAGCTCTTGCACACTCTTCCCCCTCTCAGCAGCTCCTCATCTCTGTGCAAAAATGGGTTCTGGCCTGCCCGCCCTCCATTTCTTCAGATAAGCCAGGTAGTTCTTAATGGCAGATTAAGTCAAATCAGAACTCCTATTAACATATTCTAAGTACATGTGATGAAACTCCAAATTATCTTCTTCTAGGAATATGATACCTTTGAGGAAAACACACTTTTGGTCAGTTTCTGTTGTTTTCCCATGCATCTTGTTTCCTTTTCCCAGGAAGGAATTTACTTGTAGAAACCTAGTTTCTTACAGATTTAAAGCTTCAGAAGATTATCTTTAAGTTTCCTATAATGATAAGCAAGCTTTCTGGAGGTTTACTGCCTCTAGAATTAAAACCTGACCTGTAATATCTGATTCCTTACCACCAGAGGGAGATATTCCTTTTCTTGGTACCTTCTTTAAGTATTGCCCTGGAATCCATTAGCATGTTTTTGCACAAAAGATGTTTTCAGGCCTAAATCTGACCCTCTCCTTTGTCCTTCTTTGTTCTAAAATCTCTTGTTTATCATTCTTTAACCTCTTAAAGTTGAAATACAGTTCCATGGCTTTGATCTGATGATTCAGAGAGAAGCATTACTGGGGGCTTAACTGAACCTTCATATACTATGTTGAAATGCTGTCAAAGACTCTTGCCCAGCAATGGGATAGTATATTTTTTATCCTGGCATTTTGAAGACATTGAGCAGATTTGGTGCCTGCTCAGTGAAAGTCAACAAGTTGGCAGAAACCCCTCTCAAATACTCAACATATAGAAAGAATCTAGTATATTATAAATAAGCAAGCAGGATGATCATTTTCTAAATGATTATATTATTTTCTACATAAAAAATGATGAAAAACAGATAATTTGGGGAAATTATATAATGTCTCCTTGTTTTCTCCCTCAGTTCCCAATTTCTATATAATTTCCCATATGTTTATTCCCATCTTCTGCTGTGTATGCCCTGGGATCTTCTACTGCATATATTTTTTCAAGATATTTTCCTAAACAAAGCACAGAAGGAATTCTGGTGCCAGTTTTAAGGATGATCATTTTCTCACAGACACATACATGTACCCAAGTGGTTATCAGAGCTGTTCTTTCTGGCCATATTCTTGGCTACTGTATTGACTTAAATTGAGTCCTTTCGTTCCAGAGGTGATGGCCAGTGGTGACCATCACCACTTTGATCTGATGATTCAGAGAGAAGCATTACTGGGGGCTTAACTGAACCTTCATATACTGCAGGGAAAGTGGAATACTAGAGTAGATATACAGAACATGGGGAGGGGCATGCAGATACAATAGCATGAGACATTTTGCTATCAATCAATTAATATTTCTTGAACACCCATTTTGAATTAGGCATGTGCAGGAAGCACATAGAAAAAAGCAAGAAAGGCGTGTAGAAGCATTCAGACAAAATACCTTGTGCCTGATCCTATGATTATACCAGAGGTTAAAACACCTTGAGTACTAACAAAATCACCTTTTTCTCACCCAGGCTGAATGGAGAGAAGAAGTTAAAAAACACTTTGAGAAGATCAAAAGTGAAGGAACTTGTATACATCGATTAGATGAAGAACTGATTCGGAGGCGCAGAGAAGAACTCAGGTCAGCTCATCTCTCTTCCTCTACCTCTTCCTACCCCAGATCTTCAGAAATGAGGAATTCTTCTTATGAATCACCATTTCATTTTCTACACACCTTTTACCTCTGCTTGTTATTGTTATGCTCTTTGAAAGTTACCCTAATGGTTAGTTCTCCTATGGAATCTAAAAGAGTCAATCTTCTAGAAGTTAAGTATAGAATTATGGTTACCAGAGTCTGAGGAGACTGAGGGGGGAGGACAGATGATAAAAAGTTCTTCAAGGGATACTAAGTTATAATTAGATAAGAGAAAGAAGAAGTTGCACAGTAGGGTGACTATAACAAGAATGTACTGTATATATATTTTTGAATTTTTAAAAAAAAGCTAGAATAAAAGATTTTGAATATTTTTACCATAAAGAAATTATAATTGCCAAGCATAGTGGTGCATGCCTGTAATCCCAGGAGGTTGAAGCAGGAGGATTTTACATTTGAGGCCAGCCTTGGCAACAAGAATAGACCCTATATCAAACATCAGACAGAAAGGACTGGGGCTGAACAGTGGTAGAGCACTTGACTAGCATGCATGAGAACCTGGTACATTCCCAGTACCCCTCATACACACACAGGAAAGAAATGGTAATTGTTTCAGGAGACACATGTTTACCCTGATTTGAACATTATACAATGTACTCGTGTATCAGGACATCATGAAATACCTGTAAATATGTACAATTTTTTATCAGTTAAATTTTTTTAGAATGTGTCATAGGCAGTTTTGAAATCTTAAGTGTTTTTTAACTTTTTTTTGTATTTGTTCTTTTTAATTTTACATGACAGCAAAATGTATTTTGATATAGCATACTTCCATTCTTGTGGTTGTGTATGATGTGAAGTTACACTGGTCATGTATTCATATATAAACATAGGAAAGTTATGTCCAATTCATTCTACTGTCTTTCCCATTCCCATCCCCACACTCTTCCCCCTACTCTTCCCTTTCCAATCCATGAACCCCTATTCCTTCCTCCTGACCTCCTATTGTGAGTCGGCATCATCAAAGAGAACATTTGGCCTTTGGTTTTTTGGATCGGCTTATTTTACTTAGCATGATAGTCTCTAGTTCCATCCATTTACCAGCAAATGCCATAATTTCATTCTTCTTTATGGCTGAGTAATATTCAGTTGTGTATATGTACTGTTTTCTTTATCCATTCATCTGTTAAAGGGTACCTAGGTTGGTTCCATAGCTTAGCAATTGTTAATTGAGCTGTCATGAACATTGATGTGGCTGTGTCACTATAGTATGTTGATTTTAAGTCCCTTGGATACATGCCAAGGAGTGGGATAACTGAGTCAAATGGTGGTTCCATTATTCCAAGTTTTCTGAGGAATCTCCATGCTACTTTCCACAGTGGTTGCATCAATTTGCAATCCTACCAGCAATGTGTGAATGTGCTTTTTTCCTCCACATCCTTGCTAACATTTATTGTTACTTGTATTCTTGATAATGGCTATTCTGACTGGAGTGAGGTGATATCTCAGTGTAGTTTTAATTTGCATTTCTCTAATTTCTAGTGATGTTGAACATTTTTCATATATTTGTTGACCATTTGTATTTCTTCTTCTGAGAAGTATCTGCTCAGTCCCTATACCCATTTTTTGATTAGATAATTTGTGGGGGGGTTGTTGTTGTTGTTGGTTTTGTGGGGGTTTTTTGGTTTTTTGTTTTTTGTTTTGTTTTTTTGTTTTTTGCTTTTTTGTGTTTTGTGGGGGGGTTTTTGTTTTTTTGTTTTGTTTTGTTTTGTTTTGTTTTTGGTGTTAAGTTGTTTGAGTTCTTTATTATATCCTGGAGATTAATGCTCTATATGAGACGCAGGTGACAAACATTTTCTCCCATTCCATAGGCTCTCTCTTCATGTTCTTGATTGTTTCCTTTGATGTGAAGAAGCTTTTTAGTTTGATACAACCCCATTTATTGATTCTTGATTTTACTTCTTGTGCTTTAGAAGTCTCGTTGAGGAATGTGGTTCCTAAGCCAACATGATGGAGATTTGGTCCTACCTTTTCTTCCAATAGGCACAAGGTCTCTGGTCTAATACTTAATCCACTTTGAGTTGAGTTTTGTGCAGGGTGAGAGATGGGGATCTAATTTCATTTGATTACATATGGATTTTTGATTTCCCAGTACCATTTATTGAAGAGGCTATCTTTTCTCCAATGTATGTTTATGGTACCTTTATCCAGTTTGAAATAACTATTTATGTAGTTTTGTCTCTGTGTCTTCTATTCTATTTGGTCTTCAAGTCTCTTTTGGTGTCAGTACCATATTGTTTATGTTACTATAGCTCTGTAGTATAATTCAAGGTCTGGTATCATAATGCTTCCTGCTTCACTTTTCTCTCCAAGGATTGCTTTGGCTATTCTGGCCTATTGTTTTTCAAATAAATTTCATGACTGCTTTTTCCATGTCTGTGAAGAACATCATTGAAATCTTAATAGGAATCTCATTAAATCTGCTTTTGGTAGTAGAACTATTTGACAATATTAATTCTGCCTGTGCAAGAATATAGAAGATATTTCTAAGGTTTTGTTCAAGTTCTTTCTATGATGTTCTGTAATTTTCACTATAAAGGTCTTTCACCTCTTTTGTTAGATTGATTTTCAAATATTTTTTGAGGCTATTGTGAATGGGATAGTTGTCCTAATTTCTCTTTCAGTTGATTCATCACTGACGTATGAGAATGCAATTAATTTGTGGGTGTTAATTTTATATCCTGCTACTTTGCTGAATTCACTTATTAGTTCTAGAAGTTTTCTGGTGGAGTTTTTGGATCTTCTAAATATAGAATCATGTTGTCAGCAAATAAGGATAGTTTGAGTTCTTCTTTTCCTATTTGGATCCCTTTAATTTCTTTCTTTTGTCTAATTGCTCTGGCTAGAGTTTCCAGGACTATATTGAGTAGAAGTGGTGAAAGAGGGCATCCTGGTTTTGTTCCAGTTTTTAGAGGAAATGCTTTCAATTTTTCTCCTTAGAATTATGTTGGTCTTGGGTTCAGCATTATAGTGTTTACAATGTTGAGATATATTTCTACTATCCCTAGTTTTTCTAGTGTTTTGTACACAAATGAATGCTGTATTTTATCAAATGCTTTTTCTGCATCTTTCGAGATAATTATATGATTCTTGCTTTAAGTCTATTGATGTAATGAATTATGTTTGTGGATTTCTGTATGCTGAACCAACCTTGCATCCCTGGGATGAATCCCACTAGATCATGGTGTACTATCTTTTTAATATGTTTTTGTATGTGACTTGCCATTATTTTATTAAGAATTTTTGCATCTATGCTCATTAGGGATATTGGTCTGAATTTTTTTTTCCCTTGATGTTCTTTGTCTGGTTTTGGTATCCAGATGATACTAGCTTCATAGAATGAGTTTGGAAGGGTTTCCTCCATTTCTATTTCATGAAATAATTTGAAGATTGTTGTTCATTATTCTTCTTCTTGTTTCAAAGTATTTTTTTTTAGTTGTATAGGGACACAATACTTTTATTTTATTTATTTACTGTTATGTGGTGCTAAGGATCGAACCCAGTGCCTCATATGTGCTAGGCAAGTGCTCTACCACTGAGCTACAAACCCAGGAGGCCCCTCCTGATTTTCTTTCCATCTGGATGGACCCTTAAGGATAAACCAAGTAGAAAGCTTGGATTTTCCATCTCTCACTCCTTATCTGAATCATTGTGTCAAACAAGGGAGCTTTAAAAATAGCGTCCTTGGTTTTTGAAGTAAACTGTCCAGTTTCTTATTTCATTAGAACTGACCTTTGTTCTCCCCAAAGTTAGCCTCACTGATCCTATGTTTTCTCTGATAGGCATGCTTTGGATATTCGTGAACATTATGAAAGAAAACTTGAGCGCGCTAATAATTTATACATGGAACTGAGTGCCATCATGCTGCAGCTAGAAATGCGGGAGAAGGAGCTCATTAAGTATGTACCCAGACCAAAGAAGGTCCTTATTGATTCGAATCTGTCAATCAACAGAAATTACTATTCTTGCATGTTGCTGCCACTCAGAACTGGAAGATATTTTATTTATTCACCCAACATTCCTTGAGGGAAGTGCTATAACCAGGTCCCTGCCCTGGTCAGGCAAGTAGATAAGTAGAGTCAGTACAGAGCTGGGAACGTGCTCTGGACTGGCTTTTTTTTTATACTTCACCCTCCTGCGTGGTTCAGAGGAGGATGCAAGTTTATTTCAAGAAATTGGTGTGATTATGTGAGAGCTTATTGCCCCCTGAGGAAGTAAAATGGCTGCTAAAAATATTTCAAGGTATCCCTAATGGTGGCAAGAAATCCCTGAGGTCCTGACTAGAGCAGCAGCTACTAAAAATAAGAACTTTGGCCATTGTGTTGTGTTAAGGAAAAGAAAGGCCCAACTAAGTCTGTGAGCTGAAAAGCAGAATGAAGTCAGGTTAATCTGAATTTAGTTTCTTCATTTTTATTATTATCATTAGCCTTTTTATTCAAATAGCCTTTACCTGTTAAATGTGGCCAGAATTTAGGGGTAGAATTCGCCTGTGAAAACATTCTGCCCATCCTTTCTATCTGCTGTGACTGCTATGTGGCTTTTTCTTTCATCCTACAGGCGAGAACAAGCAGTAGAAAAGAAGTATCCAGGGACCTACAAACGACACCCTGTCCGTCCAATAATCCACCCCAATGCCATGGAGAAACTCATGAAAAGAAAGGGAGTGCCTCACAAAGCTGGGGTGCAGACCAAGCGGTGAGACACCACTCCCACTTGATATTCAGAGAAATGGGATGATAATCCCCCAAAACACATTCTCACAGTATGATAGATGAGGCAACTTCTGTAACTCATTGATAGCACATCAGCTTTAGATAAAATAGAGTAGGAAGGTAAAGAAAATGGCTTAGACTCTAGAAATCTAGGTTTTACTATGTGAGACATGGATATTTATTGTCCTAGAACTGAATAGAGGAGAGAAATACAGTGGGGATTAGTCAGACCTGGGTTCAAATCCCAGCCCTGCTTTGTCAGCTCTGTGACTTGAGCTATGCCATTCAGCCTCTTCCAACCCCAGTGCTCTTATGGGTAAAATGGTATAATCACAGCACATGGATTTATTTTTATTTTTATGACCCCTAGAACACAGAATTGAGTTAATCATAATTCTTTATTTATGACACATGGTTCATACATGGCCTACTTTTATTTATACTCTTAGTTCTTTTTAATAATGTAATAACTCACTACCAAAGATAAAAGCAGGAGCTTTGATAATTACCTATATCTAACCATATTATCCCCCTCATTCTAATGCTACATAGGGTTTTTGTGAATTTTAAATAATGTAGAATCACCTTTCAAATCATAGGTGTTCAAAAAATAGTGTTTTGAGGCCTGGAGTTGTAGCTCAGTGGAAGAGTGCTTACCTAGCATACATGAGTCACTGGGTTTGACCCTCAGTACCATATAAAAATAAATAAATAAAGAT